GGGAAAGAGGGAGGGAGAGAAGTGGCACAATCTGTCAAGAAGGACTGTCAACAGCTCTGACAAGTAGAAAGGGCAAGCAGACACTGAACTGAAAACAGCTAGCCTAATACATGTTTGTTTTTTTTTTAAATAGTGTTTCACTGATGATTGTACACATTCTTCAATTAACAGTAGAGTACATGTCACTACAGTCATAGAAGTCTGGAACCAGGGACAAATTATTGCAGTAAACTAATGCTGAGGTTGGAATTTGGACAAATAGGAGGAATAGTAAGTAAATACAAGCACAGCAGAAAGAGAGAAATCTTTTAAGTTAAAAAAAAAAAAAAAAAGGCCTTGAAGAATAGAAACCTACCTTCAGAAAAGTCTGGATTACAATTTCTAACAGATGCCACAATAGATCTGACACAGCGTTCATACAGAAATTAAATTAAGGGGTAGTGTTCACAGAGGTCAAGCTGACTTGGAGAAGGTATGATCAACTTGACCACAATGGAGATCAGTAAGAAGAGCGAATGCTGTGGCACACGCCTTCCAAGCATAGAAGAGTTATTAGTCTGGCATTGTAAAGCTAAAAACCAGGTGCTTGAATAAAGCCACAAGCTCACAAATTTTATCTGCAGTAGTTCAAGACCCAACACATGGGAATAGGGCCACTACCTAAAACCACGAGCCTGAAAAGTGCCATTTTACAGCCATGCGAGGAAGTAGCAAGTTCAGTGCAGAACTCTTCCCTGAACTTCAAATGTTACTATTTACACCAGAGAAGCTGTGCTAGTTTCTGGTGCTAAAGATCACAGTTGTTCCGGAAATCTGCCAAAAAGCTCAGTTTAAACACGTTTCACCAAAAGACTAAAATCCAGCAAGTTCCTTATATGGGAAATTTTGCAAGCTATGTTGTTTCAGGTCAGCCCCTTAAGAAGTTGCAACTGGGCAATTTTTCCCTACCTTTGTTTTCTGTGCTGTCAGAAGCACTGGAAATCCCCACAGAGAGACACTCATCCCCACTCCTACAAATTAGTTGACAGCAAAATCGAGGTTCAAGCACTAGTCAGGGTTTTTACTGATCTTTGTGTTTCACTGCAGTTTATTGCTGATTTTCAGGTGCTGTGCTGCTACTTTCTCTATTTTGATTTCAGGATTGAGGAATAGAAAAAATGCACTGTGAAACAGTTTCATCTGCAAAAACTTTGAATCCCAGTTGTTAAATGTCAATTTTCTACAACTCTAGAGTGAGATAAATTCCGATTCGGATGTAATGGTTACAGAAGTATTTTTTGAAGATAAAGGAAATTAATATGAACATATACTCTGCATTTGCTACTGTAGCTGTAATAGAAATTAATTACATGTTTACTGCAAACCTTAAAATATGAATTTGACATATTTGATGTACTTACTTTGCCATCCATTTTAAGAATGCTTGAAAGATTTAAAAAAGTAATCTTATTAAACATCATATTCAAGCAGAGAATTAAATAGCACGTCAGTCTAGATAAGTAAGTAGCTATGTTTAAGCAACAACAAAAGATATTTCAAACTGGTAACTTTTAAAACATTGCTTCAATCTCGGTAAATATATTATTAATAATCAACTTCACCACCTTAACAATTTTAGAAGGGGAAAGGTTAACAATTACCAAACAAAACCAAAAAGGCCTTGCTGCACTGTCTGACCCACCCTTTTTCTGTGCATAAGCCCTTCATAGTTTCCATTGTCCGTGGCAGCGTTTGCTACTTTTCCACAAAGATTTCATTTTCTGTACCTCTGCTTTCAGCACTTAAAAGTGAAATGGTACTGCCCAAGTAGTAACAGCCCAGGTACCATCCAGGTAGTTTCTGCTGGCAAAATGGGTTCTCTGACCTACGTCAAGTCAGGCAGGTTTGCCCAAACCATGTATTTAATAGCCAGATGATTTCATGTCAAGATTTTCCACAAGGAAAAATTTCAGCAGCCATGATGGCATTAAAAACATAAACCACTGCAGCTGCTTGTAAACTTCTACGCATAGTCTAACTGCATTCACTGAATTATTGATGTAAATTCAATCTTGGGTTAAAATAAATCAGTAAGTAAAACAAACCAGATTTAAAGAATTTGAGTATACAGCTACAGATTCAGAGCAGCATGCTGATGTGCGCTGCTAAACTGTACCACATTAAGCATTTGCCGTATACACATCAAATCCTAATAGACACACAGCTTTCAAGAAAGCTTGGACATACTAATTTAAAAGCAATAGATTATGGATTAAGTAGAGCTCACTGACATAAGGCTAGGGTCGGGGAGCAAAAGGGAGTACTGGCCAAGGTACCTCCTTTTGCCAAATGCTGCAACTTGCAGAGCTGCGTGGACGTTTCAAAAGCGACCTGATGAAGCTGTAGAGTGAAACACTCAGAAGTGCAACTCCACTGCTGTTGGTTTAGCACACTGGTTTTCCTCATTTTTAACACAGTTCTTGAAGGGTAACATTAAAACCAGGCTTCCCTATAAATCACTCAGAGGAACACGTCCAAGATAAAGGGAGGTGAGTTGGGCAAAACAAAGCAGGAGCCGTCAGCAAGCCTAAACCTCTTAAAGCTTTCCCCAGCTAAACCAATCTCTGAAAGTTGACAGCAAATTGAAATCCAGTTAAGATAACTGACAGGTATCCCACAGAGAAATTCTAGCAGGGTAAGAGAAAGTCTTTTTCACAAATTCCTGTAATCTAGACACACAACTGCTACCTGCAGTGAGAGGAAGTTCACGTTTAGGTAAAAACTCCCTTGTATTCCCCAATACACACCAAAACCCCTTCCAAAGCTCACAACATTCAGCAGATTAAATTGAAAAGTCAAAAAAAAAAAAAAAAAGAAAAAAAAAGAAAAAAGAGTGTCATCTGGATTTAATGCTTGCTATCTAGCTTGCAGCTTTGGCTTGTACTGAATGCTACTAAACCAGACATCCCCCATTTCAGAAAACCAAGATCATACAGGAAGCTGTCATCCAGAGCAGGGATTAAGTTTTACAAAGACACTATAATCTGGGTGCAGAAAGATTATTTTAAATCAGAGATCAAAGTTAGCACAGGAAAAGGTTAGTCAATCATTAATGTGGAAAACAACCACCAGAACTGTGTGAATGAAAGTTAGATTTAAGGCTGGTGAAAGTTTCTTGAGTTATAGGAGTCCGAGTCACTGTTGCTGACAAGCTAGCAATGTAATAAGTAAGTAGTAAATGAAGCAGTCAGGAGGGTAACAGATTGGAAGAGTGTGGAAAGAAAGAGTCTTTAAATTAAGACAAGCATCTTTGCAGTTTTCTGAAAATAGTGTACAAAGTAGGTAGCCTATACCTCAGATAACTGGAGTTTTTTTGTAGTTTTGTTGTTTGGTGGTTGTAGGTGGGGTTTTTTTGTTTGGTTGGTTTGGTTTGGGTTTTTTTGTGGGTTTTTTTTTGGGGGGGGAGGGTTGGGGGGGTTGGTTTTTTTTGTTGTTTTCTTGTTTGTGTGGTTTTTTTGGTTTTGTTTTTTACAGTAGGGGCAATATATTCTAGAAGATAAACTAGAAAGGGCTTGACAGCAATAAAATAAAAATAAATCACTTAAATAGCCAAGGAAAACAGACCTCTCTGAAATGCCAAAGAGTATTACTTCAAATACCAAATAATTCATAGTGAAGAACACATGACATACTCCTTCAAAAACCTGGTGCCTTTGTTAAATTACTAATCCATTTGTGTAACATCAGCACCATGAGCTGACGCAGCCTTACCAAGGCAGATTAAAAGCAGGAAGTGCTTCCTGTGAAACACAAACCACAGAAAAGCTGGAAGAAGTCACCAGACACCAGAGGAGGTGATGCACAGCACATGCAGATGAAAGTAGGACACGACATCTGCCTTCTCAGAATGGATTTTACAAGCGGATTGGGAAAATGGCTGACTCGCCTGTGAGATGAAAATGCCATTCCTAACTGTCCACACTTCTCAGCATGAACAGCATGTATTTATATATTCTCTGACTAGGTCCGGAAAAAAAGAAAAAAGTTTTTGCAATTG